GGGTTAATAAATCCCTAAGTGATAGCATTGGGCAGGTCGCAGGTACTCTTTTTGGAGACATGAGAAGTCTAATAGATCCCAATGTCTCCACTGCCCTTCAATGAACATAACCAAGCACATATCTGCTCAGGTAGATGTTTTCCCCTGGCTGTACCGGCCAAGAAATCGTGAATGTGAAAACGGAAGTGACGAAATAAATGTCGCCTCTGGTTCCTTTGTTTAAAAGGGAGATCAAGGAATGGATGTGCTTCAGTCTCCCGCCGCTCTCCATCCTGAAGTGGCTTATTTTTCTAGTAATAGCAGAAGAGTCCAGCAACCACATGGGGGGCACCAGCAGGGGTGAGGATACTGCACTGTGAAAGTGAATGCCCGCACTTTCAATATGGTAAGTGGCTGAACAGAAGGGACACTGGCTGATGGCTGCTACTGCCTGTTCTTAATGACACCCCAAACACAGATCAGAAACATAGTACATTTGCCTGCACCCGATCGCCTGGTACTGCTATACCATGCAATTTGGTGTGGTGTGTTTTTTAAAAGAAGTTCATGCACTATTTTTTGTGCTATCCAGTGCAATTTCAGCCCATTCAAATGAGTCGCACAGGAATTGCACATGAATACAGACCACATTCTTGTGCGATTCAAGTATGAACCAGCCCTACATAAAAAGAGGATAATATAATATTATTACATTATCTTCCTTTTACTCAATATCATGTTCTTCTAGACTCTAATGCTGGCTTTACAGTAACACAATTTTGTTCATAATTTCTCATTTTAAATGTCCGTTCAGTGTTCTAATGGTTAGTGGGCTCAACTCAATATTTGTTTTCAACCACAGTGACAAGAAAATTCAAAGAAGCAGAATGGAAACTTTTTCTCAAATGAACAAATTTCTAACAGTGAATTTGGTTTTCTCTGGAAAATTACATTTATTCCAAAACTAAATTATAAAAGCAAATAACATTTTGAGGTACTTTTGAACGACATTCATCCAACCATCCAATGTAATATGAATTTTCCTTGTACAACATTCATTCAAAAATCTATTAGTGTATGGCCAGCTTAAGAATGGTATGGCGCTATGAGTACTTTCTTCACCAAATCTTTTAATTAGTCATCCACTAGACATTGGTTTACATAGGCTGCCAGCAAGGGCGGAGGTAGTGCTGGACTTTCCTACAAGAAAAACTCAGAATTCTCAGTATCATGGATTGACCCTGTAGTTAACCTTTATTTGTAAAAATACAGATAAGTGATTAATAGATATAAAACATTAGTTTGTGTATCTAATGTTTTAATTATTAATAATCTTTACAATTACAAATGTTTTCCTCTTATAGCTTTCTTAATACGTGTCTATTTTCTATACATATAAATATACTCACACAGACACGACACACACAAGGAACAATGAACACACAGGATATATGGAAAACGTTGTGTAGTGCTACCTATGTGACAAAATATTTATTATGTGTAAAGTGCTACAGTGCACCTTCCCCACTCATATAAAAATTGTATATATGCGTATGAAATCACCTACAGGCGAATAAATGCATAAATAAATTAACCAAAGCTCCTATAGTAAATGATACAGGGATAGTTACTCTATGCAATGTAACTGGTATTTACCCCCAACAGTTGGTGTCCAGGGATGATCATCCACAAGTGATCACTATATGTCCAGAGGCAGACTGACCATTTGGAAACTTGGGCACTGCCCGAGGGCCCGGGGTCAGTAGGGGGCCCCATGAGATGTCCCTGGTACCTTTTTCATAGGCTTTTTTGAGTTTGGGTAAGGACACAGGGGCCCCCTGATCCCCTATTGCCCGGGGGCCCCATGAGTTGTCAGTCCGCCCCTGTATATGTCTGACTTACATGCTACGTCTGTGGGTGCTGTCAGCCTCTCATTGCTTTGTATAGGGCTTCCCTCTGCAGCTGTTCACATAACCCTGCCAAGCACCGTGGTTAAAAGGGTAGCACTTCTGCCTTGCAGTACTAGGGTCATTGGTTTGAATCCCAACCATGGCACCACCTGCCTGTAGTTTGCATGTTCTCCCTGTGCTTGTGTGAGTTTCTTCTGGGTACTCCAGTTTCTTCCCACATGCTGGTAGGTTAATTGGATCCTGAGGTAACTTGGTCCCAGTATGTATGAATGTAAACGAGGTACTTTAGATTGTATGCCTCTTGAGGGTTAGGGACTGATGTGAATGTACAATATATATATATGTATGTAAAGTGCTGCATGCATTGACAGTGCTATATAAGCACCTGTAATAATAATAGTGTCAGTATTGTGCAGGTACTACAATGCACCTCCCTCATTAAATATAAACCTACATTTACTTACTACGATACCTTGAGGAAATGCTTCCTGTAAAGAGCTAAATACAGAAAGTGCTGAGCAAATGATTCCACTGGTCAAAATTGTGAAAGTGCTACAGAGCACCTCCCCCGCTTGTTATAAACCTTCATATACTAAATATCCACAATACCTTAAATACTCTATGCAAAAAACAAAAATTGATGATACAACACAAATCAACCAAGAAAACGTGTCAAGGTGCCTGTAAAAAGGGATATGTCTTCAAAAGGATTACTTTTCCTAAATTATCAGTTTATATATTTTATCCTTCTTCCCCCCAAAACATCAGTTTAGAAACCTGAAAATGTAAATAAATAAATAAAAAAATGCATCAGTAAATCAATCAATAAAATTTAAATTACATTGAAAATGACTGACTATTATGTATTTCAGGTACTTATATAGCACTGTCAATTTATTCAGCACCTTACATATATATTGTACATTCACAACAGTCCCTAACTCTCAAGGGGCGTACAATCTAAGGTCTCTAACTCACATACATACATACATATACTAGGGCCAATTTAGACAGGAGCCAATTAACCTACCAGCATGTCTTTGGAGTGTGGGAGGAAACCGGAGTACCCAGAGGAAACCCACACAGGCACAGGGAGAACATGCAAACTCCAAGCAGGAGGTGCCATGGCTGGGATTTGAACCAATGACCCTAGTACTGCCAGGCAAAAGTGCTAACCATTTAGCCACTGTGCTGCTCCACAGGGGTATATAAGTTACATTACACTGAAAATGACTGACTGAGTAGCAATAAAAGGGGGAAGTTCTGTAACCATAATAACTATGTAAAGTAACTTTCTTTTTGTGAGCACGTTGCACAATTAATCACACTTTGCGGTGTGCCTTTTATATTTCACTTCTCTGCTCCTGCACTATCTATACTTGTTCAGGTTCCAGGAACGTTATTGCTAAAGACAACATGTGACTTGTAAACTGTCTTTACAGACAAGACACATACTGTATGTCATAATAAGCAGCAAATGCCATTGATTTTTATGTTTTTTCTGGTAATCATGTGCTTATTCTTGTAAATTATATGTACGTGTCGCATGTACTGTGAACACCACAAAGAGCCATTGTGTTTAGCTCGTATGACGCCTTTCAAGCTGAAAATTGCGTTTTGTATATTCTGATGAGGTTTCATTGATTATATTTGAATTATTATATATGTAGTATAACAACACATAGCAGCCAATTCGATTTTAATTCGTTGAAGCCATATTAGTAAAAGATGAATTCTGATTTGTTTATATGGGTTACTGAGATATTCACAATACAATAATTGCCTTATTGAAACAACTTTTTTAATAAAATCAAGTCTGTAGCCGAAGATCCTTTTTTTTCCCCCACCACTCACGTACAGCCGTCCCGATTCCAGAACTTGTTGTAGCTGAACTCCAATCAGATATAAAAGCTGAACTCCAATCAGAAATGAATGCAGCTTTGGATTCTTTGTTACTTTTTGAACATATTTTTTTAATGTAGTGTAAGCACCTGAATCTGGCCTAGCTTGCAATCCCTGTACAGCAGGGTCAGACTGGGAGATTAAGAAGCAGCACAAGGATCCAATCAGTTGAGTGGCAGTGCTCAGGAGCTAACAGGGGACTTGCTGTTAGCCAATAGTGTTAATAAAACGGTAGCAGAGAGAAATCAGTTCTCCTGCCCTGCCAGACAGAGATGTACTATGTGTTAGAGCTGTGCAAATACCAGGATTGGATGGACAGAAATACAAGTTCTCGGGCTGGTAAAAACAGTTCCCATGTGTACTACAACGATTTAGCTGTTTCCATGGAGTTCAGCTTTTAAGTAGTATTAAACCCTCAGTATTTTTTAGTTTAACACAATGAGCACAATAAAATTCCACAGTAATTATATGATAAAAGTTGTACCCCAGTGTAGTATATTGTACAAAAAAAATAAAAAAAATCTCTTTACTAATTCAATTCAATATGTAGACATGTAAAATGTGTGTATCATAGATATAACTATATATAGGAGGGAGGAGCAGGGGAGTACCTTGCCATCTTAGGCAACATGACTGTGTGTTTCTATTGATGTACACAGTGTCAGGAGTGTATTTACCACAAGGCAAACAAGGCATTTTCCTAGGGCAACATTTTTCAGGGGGGCAGCGGCATCTTTCAGGGGGCAGTGGCATTTTTCAAGGTGGCAGCGCCACCCTCCAAAGGAAGAGAAGGGAAGAGGTGCTGCTCGGTGTCAGGGTCTCTCCATGGGGGGGGGGGGAGCCAATTTTTGTGTTGCCTAGGGCAGCATGGCACCTAAATACACCACTGCACAGTATAGACTCTAGTCCTTGCATGCAAGGTTGGTGCCATAGGATGCTGCAAGGGAAAGGAGCCACCCTGAAACAGGAATGCTGAAGTTATGCCACCAGCTTTACATAGCCAAGGATTAAAAGATAAAGACGCTCCATACAGTGAAGACCTCGGCTGCTGCAAGGTTTAAAACACGAAGCGTCTATTATCACTTTATTAGTACTGCTATTTTGTGTTATTTACTGACAATAAAATTATTTGTAAAATAATCATATTTTTTATTTATGATGTTTAGGTTTCTCTACTTTTCTTTACATGTAGGCATCTATAGGGGTTCCATGTGGGGCTTCGTGCTTCTTATCGCCATCGCATGGGCGATTGGATGGTTCTTGCGAGATCGACAGACCATTTCACGACTGTCTGACAAACATGTCTTCATCACCGGTTGTGACACAGGCTTCGGAAATCTGTTGGCCAAGCGACTGAACAGAAATGGTTTCCATGTCCTTGCAGGATGCCTCACACAGTCAGGAGCAGATGACCTGCAAAAAGCTTGTCCTATGGGACTGAAAACCACTTTGCTGGATGTCACCAACTGTGGAAGCATCAAAAAGGCAGTGCAGTGGGTGAAAGCAGAGGTGGGAAGTAAAGGTAAGAAAAGAAGACGTCAGCAGACGCTGTAAGAATTATTGTGCCCTGAGAATGCCCTGAGAAAGCGGAGGAACACAAATTTATATTTCTGAAAGCAAACTGTATACATTTAAAATGGAATGGATAGAATTCCAGAATGGATACATTTAGAAAAGGAATTATGTTGTAAAATGTATACAATTAAAGTTTAAAAACTTATGTTATACAGCATATTATTTTTATGGTTCTTTTAGCTTTTTTCTAGAAATGCACATTTAAAGGAATGTATTGACTTTTAAATATGACTTATAAAAGAAGGTCAGTCCTGTAATAGAAGTCCATGTATACTTACCTTTCTGGCAGCCCTTTTCTTGATACACTGCCTCTTTACTGCTTCCTGGCTGCTATCAGTATTCCACTGATCTGGTTGTGTGAGTATCTGTTCTCCCTGCCACTCACAGTGGTTTCTCCTGGCAGCTCATACATCACTACCGGATGTACACGCTGACAGGAGGAACCACTGCAAGTAGCAGTGAAAAAGGTTGTTGACCCACCCGGAAGGGTTATATAGTTACATAGTTGGTCTGGCTGAAAAAAGGCAAAAGTCCATCCAGTTCAACCATTAAAAAAAAAAAAAAAAAAAAAAAAAAAAAAAAAAAAAGATAATCCTATACCCACAGTTGATCCAGAGGAAGGCAAAAAAAACCAAGCAAAGCATGATCCAATTTGCTCCTGCAGGGAAAAAAGTTCTTCCTGATCCCCCGAGAGGTAATCGGATATTCCCTGGATCAACTTTACCTATAAATGTTAGTATCCAGTTATATTCTGTGTATCTAGGAAATAATCCAGGCCTTTTTTAAAGCAATCCACTGAGCTGGCCAGAACCAACTCTTGAGGGAGTCTATTCCACATTATCACAGCTCTCACTGTGAAGAAACCTTTCCATGTTTGGAGATTAAATTTCTTTTCCTCCAGACATAAAGAGTGCCCCCTTGTCCTCTGTGATGACCTGGCTGGGAAACAATGAGTGAACAGGTTCACTATACCCTATACCACTTATAGCCCTGGTCAAGGTGGTGTCGTAGATCTGGTGTCTCGCAGCAATCTAAGGGTTCAGGCTCTCTTATGCTTAATCCAGAAAGAAGGAAAATATGAGGAGCTGAGAGAGGCCGCACACCACTAGCTCAACAGGTGAAAAGAAATGTGCACGGCCTCAGCCTTGAGCTTTTCCTGAGCCTCAGTGCATTTTGCCCTACCCTTTGGGGCTTAAAGTGTTACTAAACCCACAACAGTGAAATCAGTCTGTATATGCAGTAGAGCATACTTGTTATACTCACTGTGGAAAAGGCTGTTTGATCCTTTCTTCTCTGCCCCTCCTCTTGTTGAAATGACCACCTGATACAGACTGAATCCGTAGTCACATGCACATGCTCAGTTTGGTGTGTATTGCTAGAGAGGTTTTTTATTTTTTTTTTTTTCTTGGGAGAGTGCATGTTATCAGCACAGGGCCAATCAGCACTGTCGAGACAGAGGTTCAGGGGTTTCACATCCTCCTAGAACAGAAAGAAAACTCCTCCTACAAGCTTTAACCAGTGCTCTGCTGAAGTCACAAGACTGCTCTAACAGCTGATGAGAAAAAGGTATTTATCAGTTTATATTTACTAAAATAATTGCATTTCCATGTTGTGTGTACTGCAGGAGACCAGATATAGTGAATGCAGGGTCCTGGGTTTAGTAACACTTTAATCATAGAGATCAGGTGAACAGGTGGCTTTTAAGACAAGGGCCTCCAGAATGGTAAGTATACATGGGCTTGTTTTATAAGTGATCCTGTGGTGACAGGTTCACTTTAACCACTTGACCTCCGAAAGGTTTTGCCCTCTTCATGACCAGGGCAATTTTTTTTTGCTATTCAGCACTGCGCTACTTTAACTGGCAATTGTCATTCAACACTGTACCCAAATGCAATTTATATAATTTTTGTCACACAAATAGAGCTTTCTTTTGGTAGTATTTGATCACCACTGTGCTTTTAAGTTTTATCATATAAATAAAAAAAAAAAGAACAAAAATTTTGAAAAAAAAACAATATTTTCTACTTTTTGTTATAAAACATATCCAAATGTAGGCCAAAATGTATGTCTGTTACATGTCTTTGGTAAAACAAAATCCAAGTGAGTGTATATTATTTGGTTTCTGTGAAAGTTATAGCGTTTACAAACTATGGTATAGTCACTGGAAGTTTTGCAGCTCTAGATGCTATACTAGTAATGATGGTGATCAGCAATTTATAGTATGACTGTGATAGTGTGGGGGCAATTTGGCACTAATGAATACTGTCTGGGAGGCACATTAACTGACTGACACTGACATTGCTAGTGACGCTAATACAGTGATCAATGATAATACTGTACACTATCTTAATGACACTAATGGGTGATCGGGGTGATCAGAAGGGCAATCAAGGAGTGTTAATTCTGTGCCTAACAAGTGTATGTGTGTTGCTTTAACTCACAGAATCTGGCTGTCTTTTCTCCCTGAACTCAGAGTTGATTTCAGGAGAGACAGCCAGATTGCTGTTCTGTGTTCAGTGTGTTTGTACTAATGGGGACACAGAGAGTAATAAAAAGTGACAGGTGTTTTAATCCATGTTCATTCTATCCAAAACTAAAAAAAAATTGCTGTTAGGTATACTGTAAATATTAGCCAAAGCTACCACAGTGAAGCTGAGTAGAAGACCTGTATTGCAGCACTTCATGTTAGAATGAACCTAGTGCGTTGAATGACTGGGGTGGAAGTAGCTTTTTTACACATTAAGGCCATCATTGAAAAGTGGATGTTGTAAAACTGAGTTCATTTCTATTTTTAAAAAGCTAACACTGACAACCTTTTCTTTCTATAGGTCTGTATGGGCTAGTCAACAATGCAGGTGTTGCAAATCCAATAGGTCCTACTGAATGGATGACAGTGGATGATTATCGAAGGGTTATGGAGGTGAACACGTTTGGCACCATTGGAGTGACATTAGGTTTTCTACCCCTGGTAAAGCAGGCACAGGGCAGAATTGTTAACATGGCCAGCGTACTTGGGAGGATATCAGCCAATGGAGGAGGTTACTGTGTTTCCAAATATGCTGTAGAGGCTTTTTCGGATAGCCTTAGGTAAGCATACACTGAGTTTCTTGAATACACTCTAACTTAAAAGCCCTAAAGCCAGCCTTAGATGGATTGAAATGTAGCTGGTTCAGCAGAAACCAGGCAAATTTCAATCCATTTATGGGCAAGGCTGGTTGTACTGAAGCTAATCTATCAGTCGACTTCCGTACAACCAGCGTGTTGGGTTTTTTCATTCAGTTATTGCCGGCAGCTATAGCCACCAGCAGTGATCATTGTATTCTGGCAGCTGGGAAACTTTCCGCTGTCAGAATACAGTAACACAGTGGGAGGGATTCCCTCATCAACACTGACTTAGTTGATGGGGGGAATCAAGTGATTTTCTTTCTTTCAACACGTGGTTGAAGGAAATGGAAGCTCAGAATTGGATATCGCCTACTCCACTCACCTGTCAATTGTGGAAGAAATTAGTAGAAATTGTTGTCCATAAAGAAAAGCTAACATCAACAGAGGGGCTGTCCACAAAAATATATTAAAAACTTTGAAAGATGGCTGAAGAGACCTGATCCAGCACTTTCACATTTGATTCTACAAAGGGTATTAAGTTATTACAAAAACATTGGTTTTTTAGCTGCTTGTAACCACACAGAGGCAAGTAAACAACTGTGTAAACCTAGATCAATGTATTGATCAATAATGCTGCATCTTTGAAATGTCATATTGGTAAAATAATACATGGTTTTAGATATACGTTTCTTTACATGGATGAATAAACATGGACAAGCATGGACAGCTGCAAGAATCTGTGAATACTTCCAGCTGGACTGACAGGCGGTTGTGGACAGCTGCTGCCATTCTGCCTGTACCCAGCAATGACAGCCTGTCAGTCTGCGATCTTCATATGTATCAGCTCTTTAAGCAAATGCCTGCAGTTGGGGACAGATATCTATCCATGGATCACCCAGGGTCAGATATCTGTCCCTAACTGAAGATAAACACTCAATGAGTGGATATATGCGGACATTGCTTTGTACAGGAATAGCGGAAGTGCCTGTCAACCCAACCACAAGAATCCACTGATCCATGCTTGCCCATGTGCATGTGAGAACAAAGCCTTATAAACATATCAGAATGAGTACAAAGACTTAAATAAATTAAATTATTAATTAATATTATTACATTTTAAAAAATTATGTAATGAAAAAAATGTTGATATACAAATGTAAAGAAAATAAGCTGTCTCTGATATATTGTATAAATATTCCCTTCTACGTCTACTATGTTTACCAGGTTAGTTTCAAGATTATAATTATTTTTTAATTCTGCAGAAGGGACATGCAACACTTCAGTGTTAAAGTCTGCATCATAGAGCCTGGCTTCTTCAAAACAGCCGTTACCGACCTGGATTCTATTGAAAAGTCTCTGCAGCAGCTTTGGGACCAAATGCCTCCTGAGACAAGGAAGAGCTACGGGGATGTGTTTTACCGAAAGTGTATGTTTCTGACCATACAGTCTTATTTCCCAAAAATACAGAGTATGCTGGAGTCATGTATGATAAGGGACCCAACGGCAAAGTGGTCCCTGCTAGAAAAAAAATCTAGAGATGCCCAGTATTGTTTATATTGTCTAGCATGCTATTTTTTCACTATTTCACATTCTCTTGTCTAACATGTTATTTTTTTCTTTTTCACCATTTCACATTCTCTTGTCTAACATGTTATTTTTTCTTTTTCACCATTTCACATTCTCTTGTCTAACATGTTATTTGTTTCTTTTTCACCATTTCACATTCTCTTGTCTAACATGTTATTTGTTTCTTTTTCACCATTTCACATTCTCTTGTCTAACATGTTATTTGTTTTTTTTCACCATTTCACATTCTCTCGTCTAACATGTTATTTGTTTCTATTTCACCATTTCACATTCTCTCGTCTAACATGTTATTTGTTTCTATTTCACCATTTCACATTCTCTCGTCTAACATGTTATTTGTTTCTTTTTCACCATTTCACATTCTCTCGTCTAACATGTTATTTGTTTCTATTTCACCATTTCACATTCTCTCGTCTAACATGTTATTTGTTTCTATTTCACCATTTCACATTCTCTCGTCTAACATGTTATTTGTTTCTTTTTCACCATTTCACATTCTCTCGTCTAACATGTTATTTGTTTCTATTTCACCATTTCACATTCTCTCGTCTAACATGTTATTTGTTTCTTTTTCACCATTTCACATTCTCTCGTCTAACATGTTATTTGTTTCTATTTCACCATTTCACATTCTCTCGTCTAACATGTTATTTGTTTCTATTTCACCATTTCACATTCTCTCGTCTAACATGTTATTTGTTTCTATTTCACCATTTCTTCTCTGTCTAACATGTTATTTGTTTCTATTTCACCATTTCACATTCTCTCGTCTAACATGTTATTTGTTTCTTTTTCACCATTTCACATTCTCTCGTCTAACATGTTATTTGTTTCTATTTCACCATTTCACATTCTCCCGTCGTCTAACATGTTATTTGTTTCTATTTCACCATTTCACATTCTCTCATCGTCTAACATGTTATTTGTTTCTTTTTCACCATTTCACATTCTCTCGTCTAACATGTTATTTGTTTCTATTTCACCATTTCACATTCTCTCGTCTAACATGTTATTTGTTTCTATTTCACCATTTCACATTCTCTCGTCTAACATGTTATTTGTTTTCTTTTTCACCATTTCACATTCTCTCGTCTAACATGTTATTTGTTTCTATTTCACCATTTCACATTCTCTCGTCTAACATGTTATTTGTTTCTATTTCACCATTTCACATTCTCTCGTCTAACATGTTATTTGTTTCTATTTCACCATTTCACATTCTCTCGTCTAACATGTTGTTTCTTTTTCACCATTTCACATTCTCTCGTCTAACATGTTATTTGTTTCTTTTTCACCATTTCACATTCTCTCGTCTAACATGTTATTTGTTTCTTTTTTCACCATTTCACATTCTCTCGTCTAACATGTTATTTGTTTCTATTTCACCATTTCACATTCTCTCGTCTAACATGTTATTTGTTTCTTTTTCACCATTTCACATTCTCTCGTCTAACATGTTATTTGTTTCTATTTCACCATTTCACATTCTCTTGTCTAACATGTTATTTGTTTCTATTTCACCATTTCACATTCTCCTGTCTAACATGTTATTTGTTTCTTTTTCACCATTTCACATTCTCTTGTCTAACATGTTATTTGTTTCTATTTCACCATTTCACATTCTCTTGTCTAACATGTTATTTGTTTCTATTTCACCATTTCACATTCTCTTGTCTAACATGTTATTTGTTTCTATTTCACCATTTCACATTCTCTTGTCTAACATATTGTTTCTTTTTCACCATTTCACATTCTCTTGTCTAACATGTTATTTGTTTCTTTTTCACCATTTCACATTCTCTTGTCTAACATGTTATTTGTTTCTTTTTTCACCATTTCACATTCTCTTGTCTAGCATGTTATTTTTTCTTTTACACCATTTCACCTTCTCTTCCATTTCACCACTTTATAAAGTTGGCTATTTTGATGATTTTGTACACAAGATACAGTGAAGTTTTTTTTTTTTTTTACAACACGAGAATATTAAGTCCGCTTTCCCAGAAATTGTTATTAGAAATCTATCAACTCATTTATTATGCATATGGCCAAGTCGTGTATTATGATGCAAAGGGCTCAATTCACAACAGAATTGACAGAAAGATAAGGTTCTTTATTTCAACCATGTGACTGTAATTTTTCAAATCTCATTGGACTTAGTGGGAAATACCTGTCATATTTTTGAAAATTACAATTTTCATTCTGGTGTGTTAGTTTTGTAAAATGTGTCCACGGTGTTATGACTAAGGCCTTCTTCACACGGGCTGATCACATCCGTGTCCCAAGCAGGGCCATGTTTTACCAATATGAGGATGCACAGGTGTTGCATGCATCCCAGTGCTGGCAGTCAAGCTGTTGTCTGTAGAGATGCAGTGGCTACACAGACAGAGCAATCCCAATGCGATATCCATGCAGATTCAGGTGTGCAGCCCCGAATGCACACAGGGCGTGTTTGGGGCCGTGCATCTGCACAGATGTCACATTGGGCATGGCGGCTCTGTCCATACAGCCACTGTGTCCCAATTGACAGCTTTGAAACTGCTAGCACAGGGATGCATGCAACACCTGTGCATCCCGATGATGGTAAACAGGGCTCTGAATGGTACACGGATGTAATCAGCCTGTGTGAACAAGGCCTAACAGTGTCTGTTGGAACACAGACTTACTCGGTAAATGGTGCAAGAAGCAAAACTTTAACATGAACTTGTGCTTTGCCAATGTTTGACAAAACAACATTCCTCCTTTATTTCCCCCCTCCTCCCAGGAACATAAACTTGCCTTCCTTTCCCCAGCCTTCTCTCTTCCTTCTTCTCTGTTTAACGTTTGGGAGCAAGAGCACACAGCCCAGTGTAAGCTCCAGTGAGGTGTCCAGTCAGAACTTACTCGCAGCTGCCTTTTTTCTTCCCACCATGTACCAGCGCTAGGCCAAGCTCCAAGAATTAGTGCCATCACATGGGGTGAATTATATGCACCTTCATACCCCAAAATAACAAGCATTAACTGTAAATGTGATGGTTGGGGCTCTCCCTGGTGCTGAAATGGCATCTTTAAAGAGTAACTCCACTTTTGTTGAGAAAAAAAACAACCCCCTCTGGGTGATCAATGTACATTGCTGGGATTTGAACACATTTTTAGCAGATTCCTACCTTTTGTTGCTATGAAGAAATAGTTATTTGTTTCACCAGACTGATGGCATACTCATTTTAAATGGAAGGGACTGGTTCATTATAATCAGCTGATGCACCTTCTGTGTTCTACTGAGGCGATTTGCAGGGTCTGCATCCCTTTAAAAGTATTATCTAATAAAAACTTGAATTTCTGTTGCCTAAAATCTAACTTGTATCTTAGTGAGCTAATCACACAAGCAGGAATTAACATTTCTCTACATCATCAGTGTATGGAAGACCCCCAGGTGCCATATTGCATTGAATTTTAAAGACAATTACAGTGCTACAGATTGAAAAAGAAAGCACATTTCTAATAACATTGAATTACAGCATACCGTGTGAAGCAATTGTATATGCTATATTATATATTTTTTATTTGGTATTTTTTTTTTCATTACAGAAGTGGAGATACCCTTTAAAGTGTTAGCAGTGGGCAGGTCCCACTTTTTTTTTTAACCCCTGCCTCCCTCCCTACCAGACATGCAAGCCAGTATTCCCATGATATGGGGCAGCAAGCATGTCCCCAACCATGCATACAACCAGCTTGAAGGTCCCTAATAAAGGGGTACCAATCCCGCAGCACAAACCTGATGCTGAGTCCCTGGAGTCTTCTGTGCCCGCAGTGCCCAGAAGAGGGTTCTGGTAATGTTCCAACTTCCTACCCTCCCTCAAGGGCACGTAGGCGGCTCCTCTCCCTGGTGAACAAATTCACTGAATGTCATTCAATGTTTTTTTTCACCTAGTGATGCATGTATTATACTGCAAATGTTACAGAGAATCTTTTATTTAAAAAAAAAATGCCCATGTATTTTTGTTTCTTTTTATAAATTCTTTATATATGTATGTATGTTTCAGTGGGGCGTGTAGGCTTGTGGGTAGGAATACAGTGGGGTTATATAATGGACATGAAGGAGGTGAGACACATGCATAAACAGGGTTCTCTTAACTGCTTTTTTCTTTTATTAGATATGAAAGTCCAAAGGCTGATTATGAATTTCATATGTGATCCTGACATCTCTAAAGTGCCTAAATGCATCGAACACGCCTTACAAGCAAGATACCCTCGTACAAGATACAGCCCAGGCTGGGATGCAAAGTTGGTGTGGCTACCAGCTTCTTACATGCCAAGTTTCATTGTGGATACAGTGCTCGCCTTTGTTCTTCCTAAACCAGAAGAGCAAGTGTGCTAGAACACATTATATAGAAGCTTCCAAACCTTGGCATTATTTGGGAAGTTTAAAGGTACTGCAATCATTGCTGAATATCATCCTCCATATAATGGACAAAACAACTTTGTACTGGAATCTTATGACATCTACTGTGGTACTAGAAGTCTTTACACCAAATCAAGATATGATAAAGTGTATCTTTATTCTCAGCAATTTGTGATTCTGGCAATTATAAATTACAATTTCAGACAGTAAATGAAATTATCTGTACCAATCTTCCAAGTTACTGAATGAACTTCTGTAAACTGACATCTTTTTCTGTGTTTAATACAATAATTCTAGATGATTAGAAACAAAACTGACCCTGTCAAATAACATGACACTTACTACAGTATCTCCTCTACTTAAGATATACCATATGCTGCATACCTTCTGTGCTTAACTAGTACCCAAGTAACAATTTTGTAATAAAACTCAACTTTTATTGTGGTTATGTTTAATTAAACATGTATGACTGGAAGTGTAATGAGTGGGGATGAGCTGAGGCATGTTTGAATCCCAGTGTACACCCACCTTTGCAATCCCACAGGAAAGCAGTCAGTGTGCTTGGCCAATACTAAGTGGCCAAGGCATTCTCCAGCTCACATCCTCATATATACAAAAGGGTAGGTTTTCATGCGGCGGGGGGGGGGGTGTGAGAGAAAAGGCTGCTTATTATATTGGCCCAGTACAGTGACAGTTTTTGGACTGGAACATTTAGGTAGGTTCAGATAAGGGTCAGGGGAAAAAAAAAAAATTGGCACTCATCTCTAAAAGCAAGTCTTTTCCAAGGATATGCATACATTTTGTTTTGTGTGAGTGAATGTGAAAGTATAAGATATTGAATGCTACAGACCAATGAAGCTGATTATTAAGGCAGATAGGATTGCTCTTTGTTATATAGAGGAGCATTTCTTTCTTTTGGAGTCTGACTTGTATGAGCCAAATGTGAGAACTTAAGACATTGTTTTGTTTGCTGGTCAGTATAGTATCGTAACATTTGTACCAAGAGAGTTCTGGTTTGTGTTGATTGTACAATTATGAAATGGAACTTACAAATACCACTTACCTCCTGAGGCTTTACGCACACATTTTTGCTGCTGCTCGGCCCTTATGTCAACTGCTAATTGCAGTCATGCAATGCTGTACCCAAACTAAATTTATGTGCTCGCTCTCCCCCCCCCCCCCCCCCATCCCTGCACCCAGAGCTTTCTTTTGGTGGTATTTGATCACCACTGCAGTTATTTGTTTGAACTATAAATTAAAAAAAAAAAAAAAAAACTGAAAATTTTGAAAAAAAAAAAAAAAAAAAAAGCCCAATATTTGACTTTTGGTTATAAAATATCCAATAAACTCAAAGTTAGTCATAAATTTAGGCTAAAATGTATTCTGCTATCTTTGGTAAAAAAAAAAAAAAAAAAAATCTCAAAGACATGTATAATTGGTTTGTGTGAAAGTACACACACATAGTTATTGAATTTACATAGCTTTTACTTTCTGACTGCCTATCACATTTCTTGAGGTGCTATAATGCTAGGGCAGTACAACAAATATCCTGCAAAACCAAAAAGTGAAATGCTTGTAGATTCTGATGTCTTAAGACTATAGAGATGAATGGAGCCATTCAGGTCTCTGACCAGCTTTATGGTCAGTCAGCAAAACTGCCAGCTGCATTCTCAGATTCCCCTGTGGGACAGGAGAGCCCAAGAAAACTGGCAGGCAACAGGAGGGGAATGTCCCTTGCTGCTGCTCATAAAAACAATTCAGCAGCTAATTGGCCACTAGGATTGTTTTTCCATTAAAGCCGACCACCAGCTGAAAAAATACTAGGATGATGCCTGTAGCTGCAGACATCAGGCCAGTATAACCACTAAAGTCCAGTGACTTACCAGTACATTGCTGGTCCATGTTAGGCATACATGTAACAGCAGAGAACACGGGCATATGATGAAATGGCTGTGGATCAACATGACCGCAATTCATTCTTTTCTGTAATGTCCATGTTGAGGGTTAGACCCAAAAGTTTTAAACTCAGAAACCGTGATACATTTCCATGCCAACTGTCTGGCATGGGGGGGGGGGGGGGGGGGGGGGGGTGGTCGGAGGAGGAAGAGGATAACGCAATTAGTCCACATCCCAAAATAGAAAGCAAAACACATGATTACGTCGCTTTGCCAAGAGAGAGCTGCTCTCATTTAAAAAAAAAACCCACATGTTTTCAAAAAAATTTATTATTTTTTTTAACCTACAAAAAAAAAAAAAAAAAAACCCACATACACACCTCTCAAAAAAATATGATTTTTTTTTTTAAGTCTTTTTCTGAGACTTTTATTTTTTAAATTGCATGGCTGCATAATTGTCAGTGTTATAGCACTGAAAGCTGAAAATTGGCCTGGACATGAAGGGGGTAAAAGTGTACGGACTTGTAGGTGGTTAAGAAGTTCTTTAAATCACTTCAAGTACTACAGTATCACCATGTTGACACTGTTCTGCTAGGTTAACCGTGTTAAAATATAAGTGTCAAATTTTGAAAAAAAATTTGTTAAACTAATTTGGGTTAAAAAAAAAAAAAAAAAAAAAAAAAAAAAAGTTTCTCAAAATGTGCGGACTTTCATTTATATAGCAAAAAAAATGAAAATCCCAGTGGTAAATACCACCAAAATAAAAAAGTTTTACCACTGGGATTTTTATTTTTTCCTATATAAAATAAAAGTCCAAACATGGTGAAAATTTTTTTTAGGCCAAATTAGTTTAACAAAAATTTTTCAAAATTTGACTTTATATTTAACATACTGTCACCCTAGCAGTACAGTGTCAACATAGACGCATCGGCTTCCATGCATTAGGCTACAAGAGGAGATGCCCTGCCCCTAAACACACTGCACCCGCAGACATCTGTTCCTTCCCTGTCCCACAGGGAGTACAGAGGTAGGGAGGTTCTGTGGGAGCAGATGGTAATGTCACTTCAGGGTGTGCGCAGGGCCAGTGCCGGAGGTGGCGGAATGGCGTTCCGCCATGTTGAGGCTGAAAAAAAAGTCCTGATCACAACTAGGTCTTATACTTTAGCAATTCCCATAAATAGCACTAGGTCTTATTTTCAGGGTAGATCTTATTTTAGGGGAAACAGGGTATGTGGGAGGTGATTAAGAAATTTTTTTTTTTTTTTTTTTTTTTTTACACACCAATTGCTTTTACACCCCATAAAGGCTGTAAAAGCAATCATTTCTCCTATATGGCTGCATTCTTGCAGCCATTGTAAAATACTGTGTGAGCTGTGATTGGTCACAGCTTGTCACATGGTACAAGGCTGTTGTGTATAGCCTGTTGCCATGTGACCTCAGTGATCATTCAGATTTCACAAGTAGTAAGCAATGTCAGAAGTGACATCTTGCTTACTATTCATGTGATCACTGATTAGCCAATCAGTGATCACATTATCAGGACCTCACACAGAGGTCCCGTACAGTGATCAGTGTTCCCAGGGAGCGCGCACAGGCAGGGAGGATGTTCATAAATGGCCACCGGCTCCTGCAATGCTCCCATCTGGCCATTTATGTACATGGGCTGAACGGGGGGAAAAAAAAAAAAAAAAAAAAAAAAAAACCCCACACAACAAACCCCCCTTTAAAAAGGCAGCACAACCAGTCAATAAACCAGACAGAAAGGCCGTTACATCACTTTATTCTTGGCATTTACATTTTGTGCTTTGTAGAAAATAGAAACAGTAATGGCTGGTTGGAGAAAAAAAAAAAAAAAAAAAAATTATAGGGTAATTGCCAACTTAGAATATATTCATATTCCCTTAGCATTGCTTATGGCACATAGGCTACATATACATTTTATGCAGCTTTTCTGCACCAGAAACCCAAATTTCCTCTTTGTAGGGAGGCTGGGAAAGAATATAAGGCACTGAAGGAATGTAGCAATCCGCTTGCATCTTTCTTAAAACCAAGCTTGATTTCCATTTTATAAATTATTTTCAAACACCACCCTGATAAGTTTTAAAACAAGAATGACGAATACCTGACTTTTAAGCTCTGTTAGGCATACCAGCAAAAAAATTCTGACTTTTAAAACATTTCGACTAATGGTACAGCAACAAAAAAAAAAAAAAAAAAAAAAAAAAAAAGAAGCCAGAGTAAAACAGCTGCAAGAATTCAAAATTACAAATACATATATAAAAACAACTTTTGTAACCAAATTCACACAGAAGTGACATGCTGTGCCATTTCAGACCATAGAATGGCTTGTGCAAATGTGTTCACAATAGGAAGGAGAGAGGAAACGCTAGTTTGTGTTTTATCTTGGCAATATGGGGAAGTGACATTACGGCATAAACTTGTCCACAGCATCAGGTCACATCACTTCATATCCACTGCGAATTCCCTTCATCAAGCAGCAAGCAAAGACTATGCCCAAGATCTAAAAAAATGAATAAAATTAGTTGCAAACAAGTAGGCACACAAGATATCATATTGGAGTATATGTGCCATCACCGCACACAAGATACCACATTGTGGATAACGATAGGGATAGCAATACATGCAAGTGATGTAGTACAAAGCACAGGGAAACTGAACCAACAGGCCTTAAATAGAACTAAAAGGCAAAACTTCTCATTTTAGCTAAGAGTAAGGAAGGGTGTTAAAAAAAAAAAAAAAAAAAAAAAAATTAAAAATAAAGTGTTTCTACCTCTATTATATCTAGGCAAGCTTAAGGCTGTATCTAAAACATCTTCCTCTGCTCTCCAAGAGCTCTGCTGAAAACCCCAACATCTGTGGCACTCAAAAAAAGGCCACCTCAACTTGTAGAGGCAAGAGTGATGAGTATTCAGTGGGCCTTCATTCATATGCTAAAGTAGGGACTTACTTGAGGCATTCCATTCTCATATTCAATTATGCTTAACAGCACTATGGGTTAGCTAAAAAGACTCAAAGCAGTTGTTAGTTACTTTTCCGGCTGGTCCCACAGGATTTTAAAATGGTGCCCTCCCAGAAGCAAGTGCCAGATGACTTGTTCACCTACAGCCATTGTTAATATGCTTTACAACACTCGGGGTTAGAAGAAACTATGTAGCATTTGAATATAAAGCCTAGAACACTGCTTGCTGACTACCTATGCAATTTTACACACACACACACACACACACACACACACACACACACACACACGACTAACTTTAGGCAAAAGATTTAAAATGTTATACTCACCTCAAAGAAAGCAATTCCCAGGGCCACGCCAGCAATGATGCCTACATTCCTTTTCATCCAATTATCGATACCCTGAATACATCCCTGTATAAAGTAAGAAGTGTACTTAAAGCAAACAGAAAATTTCAGGATACAAAATAACATGCAGTCAGTGGTTATGGTTGCAAGACAGGTTTGCTACCACTAGTACATGTGCCGGATATGCTTATGGGGTGGTACACGGGATGAAATGCACTGAAAGAGGCTATTAACTGATGTCCACCCATGTCATTTCTGGTGTTGGAGGACAGAGGAAGTAGGGCAAGTGAGGGCCATCTTGGAATATAAAAATGGTATAAAAGATCCATATTTGATGCTGGCATATGACAAAAAAAAAAAAAAAAAAAAAAAAAAAAAAAAAAAAAAAAAAAAAAAAAAAAAGGCACTTTGAGTGGTTTTAAATTTCTATTCAATAAATACTGCACAATGGTTGTGTGTTAGTAATTTCCCTGGGATGATTAACACTGAGTCAGAGGGGGGAGTAGTTTTTAACAGGGTAACTGGGTGAAGTAAGAAAGCTGACCTGCAAGCATAGCATGGAACAAGGCAGTTTTGGACCGCTTATTAAATTTCAAGTGGTCACAGCGTTCTAGTGAGTGCATGAAAAGGTGGGATCACAAACTGGTCATCAGAGGAGTTATATCGATCTACAGCATAGATTGTTGGGAAGGGGGGGGGGGGTACAAGCACATGTTATGAAATGAAAAGACTTATTACAAAGAGTGAAACCATTTGCTGAAACCTTAAAAATGTCAAACATCACTGAAGTACATATACTGTCACTGACCTGTACATTATAATGTTCTTGGGCTCCCCCCCCCCCACTGTTTTATATATAGTATTTGATTTGATTTATTATTTGAACTAGAAAGGAGGGTATTGTACAGAGTTGCGTGCAGCACCTACTTTGTTTTCCATGTTCACGGTTGACCGCATAGATATGAAGGGGGTACAGGATTTGGTGCGAGCAGCTGTGTTCCATTACTCTGGTTGAATAAGCAGCTACACTTCTGCAATATGTGCAGGATCTGCATTGTTTTAAGGGAGTCTACAAAGTTGTCAAGATTTTTAGTTGGCAATGTTAGTCTCCCAGGGTTGGTTCACACCAGCAATGCAGCGCAACAGCTGCAGTGCAATCCGGCCGAGATCAGCAGTGAGACAATGCAGAGCTTGGAGGCTCACATTGCTTTCTTTGTGAAATCCAGGACAGTTTTCTTCAGCCAGGTTTCAAAAGCATCACTAAAATATGTTATGCAATACTTACAATTGTGTTAATGTTGGTTGAATTCGTGCCGCAGCCAGTTACAATGACCTTGCAGCATGTGTCAGGATATGTGCCCTTGTCTTTGAAAGGAGCATAGTTATTCCAGTCACTGGAGCTATTGGCACCACAGCACTCGAACTGGAATAGAAAGGGAAAAAAAATTCTTTAATCACTTGCTCTCCAAAGGATTTACCCCCCTTCCTGACCAGGATACATGCATACGAATTTTTATATACTAGCAATGTTGGCGATTTAGAACGCCTGCTGCAGTCCCGCTATGACATGGGGGGGGGGGGGGGGGGAATTGTCACAGGGAACTGACTAACTGCCACCCCAATGACATTAATACAGTAATCAGTGCTAATAAAAATACAAAAGCACCGACACTGTACTAATGACACTGGACACAGGGGGTTAACGTCTGGGGTGATCAAAGGGTTAACTGCACGTTTTACTAGGAAAACATACTGCTGTGTAATTCTCTGCTGTGCAGAGAAACAGCAGCATGTTACTGCTGACAGGACAGACTTTACACATGTCTCTTCTGTCACTGTTTCCCGGCAATTGCCAGGGGCCAAGGAGGAATCTCCATCCGGGACCCGGTGATCGACATCTGTAGCCACCAATGGCGGTGTGCATAGGCTGGCACATGTGCCCCCTGCCCGGAAATGAAAGTCATGTACATGAGCAATTTTGCACAGCCCCGCCACAGTATTTCTGCAATAGGGTGGTGAGGAAGCGATTTGCTATATCAAGTGAGAATACGCAGATTAGAAGAAAAGAACTGTCAAAGGGCCTTTGTAGACAAGCTTTGTGCTACTGTCCAGGGCATTCAGTTTGACATTTTAAGATGCCACTGAAATATTCCAGAATTCATTGACAGGCGCATATGACCTGCAGTTGACTACCTTCTGACTTTGTATGCATTAGACTGGATTTGCATTCTCCTACAAGTCCAAAGGCCCATTGAGACAGGTCTAAAAACAGTCAAGTGAAAATCCATTCTGAGAGCACATCAGCACCTTAAAGCTGCCAGCACACTGATCCTCTATCCAGGAGGTTAGTAATGGAAGCTCCCCACTCCTAACAGGTTTATGGGGTGGCATAAATCTGTAGGCACCTATATGCACACAACTTCCTGGTCCCACCTTCTTCCTCCAGGCCTCAATTTTGGCCAGTTACTTCTCCATCACCGTTCACTGACCAGTAGTGAGGCCAAGGAGGTGCATTTTACATTTCAGGCTTGCTTTAACCCTAGAAAAGTCACCTTCCCCAATAACCAAATCCTTAGTACAGCCAATTAGTTAAATTTGTAGTGTTATGGTAGATCCAAAATACTGACTAGTAAAAAGGAGAGAGAAGAGAACACCAGCTTTGTGATTAACTCCCTTTAGAAGAAATAAGGGTCACACTGAAGCACAGCGACCAGTAAGAGTCCACAAGGCACAGTAAATAAAAACCAGACTGCAGCTTAAAACTTATGCTGGCCATACACTACTCAATCATTCGGTCATAAGAGCCACTGAGTAATGGATCATTCAATTGACATAAATGAATAATCTTTCAATTTTTTGGTCATAAGCGCTGTATGAACAGTTCCATTTTTAAACAGGTGAGACAAAAAAAAAAAAAAAAAAAAAAAGCAATTTTTTTTTTTTTTAAATAAGTGCCCCAGAGCAAACAGCTTGCTATGTGGACACCTAAGCAGGCCCTCTTCCAAGCCACTGCTCTATGTGTCCATACACACCTCCCAGACATACTACAGAGAGGCACACAGCAGCTCTATGGCCCAGTGTAAGGGACCTAAAGCAGGTTTAGTCAATGCTCACACACATTTAGGAGTTTAAATCTGATCCTGAATGCACCGAAAAATCATTCCAATGTATATGCTTTTAGAAAAAGGTTCACTAAAGGCTAGGTTCACACCTGTGCAGCCCACGAATTGTGTGGCTACGAGAGCCCATTTGAATGGGCTGCAGTACCCCCAGGACACACAGGAAAAGTCCCTGCACTATTTTTGAAATCGCAGGTTGCACAGGAACCAAGGATTCCAGTGCGGTGTGCCATTAGGCTTAGTGGGTCCCACATTGCTCTGTGTGGGTGGTTGCAGCTGCTGGTATTTAAGCAGGTCCTGCAGCAGCACCACCCACACAAATGTGAAGCTAGCCTAAATGCATATAAAGTGCAGGTTTGACAGTCACTGAATGAGGTCCAAAAGGAAGAGTTAATCTCATAGATGAAGTGGAGTTTGAAGAGAAAGGAGACATTTGAACTGTGTGGATAGTTACAAGTGAATTTGAAAGCAAAAGTCATGCACAGATCTGGATCCACAGTAGTGCAGTGACCTATAAGAGGGAGTAAGGACTTAAAAAGAGGTAAGGTGAGAAAAAAAAACACACACACACTTAAGAGGTTAAAATGCCCCATCAGGCAGCTGCTGTTAACCAACCACAACAACCACCCCCCCAACTAAAGTCTACAAAATAAGAATGGCTAGAAGGGGAGGAAAACACACGAACTGGAATACTCACAGTTCTCTGAATATCATCTATTGAATCTTTTGCTTCTTTTGTGGTGTTGTATTTGCTTATGCTGTTGTTTAAGGCATCTTTGTAGACATCCTGAACCTACAATACAACATAGAGGATGAAGAGGAGGACCAGTAATGAAGTTATAGCCTGGAACCCAGCAATGAGCATGCTCTCCTTCTGACAGATTTTCATGGAGATTAGCTGGTTCCAGGGATCTTTCAGCTCCAAATTAAAATCCTCACAGTAAATATTCTGTGTGTAGCTTACCTTATATTGCGGAAAACATATCCGGCAATTGCAGCAGCTATTTCAACCAGGAAGATTACACCCAGCAGAACAGCAAACTGGTAAAAGGAGAGTGAAAAAGATTGTTTTCTTAAATAGAATTTTGTTTTCTTTAATAGCAACCACATCCAATCTACATGGTATATGATCTTACCGTAGTCACCATGCAGTAGTTCTCCTTTACAGCTCCACAGCATCCAAAGAATGAAATGAAGAAGATGACGACCCCAACTACAATAAGAACTATAGGAGCCCCCGATGTGGAAACATTGCTTATGGTCAGCGTTTTGTTAAGATAAATCTGCACATAGATGCCCAGTCCTATGAGAGCAATCCCACAGAGCTAAGGAACAAGAGAGAATATAGTGTGAGACAATACACATGAACAGTACATTTAGAAAAGAGTTCCGCTTACATTCACACTGTTTTAGTATGTAACACTTCATAGTTTGCATTTTGGAAACAAGTGAGGTTTGTGAACCACTGTAGCTTTGTGAAATTCTGCATATATTAGTATGGTGTACCAGCCAGCCATAGTGCAGCTCAAGCAGGTAAATGGTTATAACAATTAAGTGTCATTTAGTATTCAGCAATAATCAGCTACAAAAGGAAAAAATGATCAACCCTAAGGCCTTCTGCACACAGTACTGACGTTTGAGCATCTGGTTTTTTTTTCAAACACAATTTCAGGTGCTTATTTTCCATGTATTTATACGCATAATATACTTTAAAAGGGAAAATTCATTAATATTTATGCTCATATTTGAGCACACGTGGTGCAAGTTACTGACCAAAAATGCCTTTAACTGATGAGTACACGGCGCTTATTTACACACCTGTGTGCATAGGCAATATACATGATAATATATGATTTTGCAGCTGGTGATCGCGGAGTATCTGACGGGGAAGAGACCTGTATGTAAACAACACAGTTCTCTCCTGTCAGATCCTGCACACCTTTGTATGGCTCTGCTATGCAGAGCCATACACAGTGGTGTGCTTACAGTAAAGCACACACAGCTCCCCCATAGTGAAACAGCATACGGTTAACCCTTTGATCGCCCTAGATGTTAACCCCTTCATGCCCAGTGCCATTAGTACAGGGTCAGTGTTTTTTTTTTTTTTTTCTATTAGCACCGATAAATATTGCATCACTGGGGATGTCGGTGACACCAAATTGGTCCCCCGTGTCAGAATGCCCACCGTAGTCTTGCAATAAGTTGCCGATAGCCGCAATTACTAGCAAATTTTTTTTTTTAACAAATTCCAGTATATATATTACACACACCATAACTCAAGTAAATCAATTTGTGAGAAAAAAAAAAAAATGCCACTAGCATCTTTAACCCATTTCCATACTGGGCACTTTTGCCCCCCTTCCTGCCCAGGCCATTTTTCAGCGCTCTCACACTTTGAATGACAATTGCGCGGTCATACATCATTGAACCCAAACTAAAATGTTATAATTTTCTTCACACAACTAGAGCTTTCTTTTGGTGGTATTTAATCACTGCTGGGGTTTTTATTTTTTGCTAAAAATAAAAAAAAAAAAAAAAAAGTGTTTCTGTTATAAAAGTTTGCAAATAAATAATTGTTCTTCATAAATTTAGGCCAAGATTTATACTGCTACATGTCTTTGGTGAAAATAACCCAAATTAGGATGTAATTTTTAGTTTGTAGGAAAGTTATAGAGTTCACAAACTATGGGATAGATCTGAATATTGATCAATCCTGAAGTACTGACAGCCAATCTAATTTCTTGAGGTCCAAGAATGTCAGAACAGTACAGATATCCCCCCAAATGACCCCTTTTTGCAAAGTAGCCCGACGTACTTCATAGGAGGCATGGCAAGTTTTTTGAAGTTGTATTTGTCATTTTTCGGAAAATGAAAAATTCACATACTGTCACCAGTGCAGTACAGCGTCATCATATAACTGGCATGGCAGTAATCAGGGACACTGGTGACAGTGAAATCTGGAAAAAATATATATTTTTTTTTTCATACTATGTACAAAGTTACCATAGTAACATTGTACTACTTTTTGAAAGTGATCAGTATTTTTTTTTTTGTTAACACAATTTGCTTATAGCAAAGAATTACTTTGCTATAAGCAAGCATTTACCTGAATGACCGATTCATTCAGGGTTTTTTTTTGTGCTCAGCTGTGATTTGGCCACAGCTAATCACATGACATGTGCATGTGATCACTGACCATTCACAGCTAGACACTAGTATACAATGGATGGCATGAATGAAGCCATCCATTGTATACAACTGTCATGTGATCCGCTGTGATTGGTCACAGCAGGTCACATGGTACTGGCAACGTGGGCCGGTCCTCAAATCTGTCATCGGCCGTGTCAGAGGTACACGGCCGGTGACAGATTGCGCCGCTGCGCAGGTCTAAGCGCGAAAACTGCGCATGCCCGGGAGGACGCCATATGGTGTCCACCCGGAAATCTACAGCATTTTGCTGGCCGCCAAAATGGCTATTGGCTAAAGTAGAACTATTTTGATAGCGCAAGGGAGGGTTACAACCCTTGCCAGATCTTTTTCGCCATGTGTCCCATTGCACAGAGTTCCCTTCACTTCCTGTTCCAAAGCCAAACAGGAAGTGAGAAATCCCTGCAAATTAAGGGGGCCCCCAATCCTCAGAATTAGTGTCTCCATTGCAAGATAAACCCTGTAACCTTCCAAATTTTATACTTTCAAGTCTAGCAAAAAAAAAAAAAAAAAAAAAAAAGCCATAGACTTTTTAAAAACAGCATCAGCTCAATAATGACGATTAAGCTTCTGGATGGAACAAAGTCAATACAGTCATAAGATCAGGCACCTAATGGTCTTACACTAGAGCAGTGAATGGTATTTTTCCCCCCACACTGAAAAAATGCCAGTCACCACTAGAGCACATAGAAAACATTTTCTATGAGTGGTTTTCTATATGCCATGGAGGGGCAGTGAAATAAAATGCAGACATGCTGAACATGTCACACCTCACTGTATGGCTAAACACCCTGCTGTGCAGGGACATGAATGAAGTGTCACTTGCTACACTTCAAAGTTTGCGAAAAATATATAGCAGCATACACCTCATTCCCTGCGTTTTGAAATGTTCATGGAGCTCAATCTGTGAAAGCATTGAGAATAAGACCATGAAATGACAACTTACAGGTCAGCCTTAATACACACATCTATGAAGGGGAGGGGGGGTGGCGCTAAAAGTTTCAGTAGAATAGGATGCCGCAAGAAAAAAAAAAAAAAAAAAAAAAAAAAAAAAAAGGGGGAAGGATTGCAGATTCCCCATACACCTAACCAATAAACTATTTGACAATTATTTAAAATCTGCAAGGCAGAAAAATTATATTTTTTATTATAATTAATTTAGTAAAAACACTGCCATGTGCAACAGACATGGCTATACAGCAAAACCCAACAGATGTACAAAACAATTGCAACGATAAATAGTAATTGGGTATGCAACAATAGTAAGTGTATACTTCAATAATGTCACCATATAGTAATAATGCAAAATATCCATGTCATATGACAGTGCTGACCAATCAGAAACCACCCCTACAAAAAGAGCAGGGTATTAAAGTTCCCAGACCAATACACTGACAGTCAAGTACAGCAGGTACTGGGGTAGGGGGAGGTCATTTCATTTTTTCTAACACCCTAAACAGGTTCATCAGAGCACTCAGGAAAGGAAGTAGGGGGTTCTCAAACAAGGCTGTACTTTTTCTGAAAGCACTGGAACCGAACACACTGCTGGATACTGCTGAACAAGACTGACCAGAATATGATCAAACATAAGTGCATCGAGCCCCTAAAAGCTTTGATCCTCAAACACTGGGTGGATAGAAATACAAATCCCTTTGGCAGGTAACATTTCTCAATTTGGTTTACAAACCCTGCCACACAGCACAGTCCTGTGACAGTAGGGGACCCAATTTCTTTGTTGTGGTTGAGTAACACTTACAGGAACCGCAGCCCAATTGGAGAAGAGTGAACAATCTTCATGCACTTGTCCCTGCCTCCTTGCTAAATTCTGGCACACAGGGATTGCAGGAGGCTTAAACCAAGTCAAATCACTGCTGCTGCTTTTAAAATATAAGGCATTCAATTTGTATAATAGCTAAACCCTAGGCAGATGGGAGAGACAATTGACGCAGCTCTGTATTCATGTATACTTCCTGAAAGGTTTTATTTTTGTAGTCAAGGCAAGCAGTGTAAGTGGCTAAAGTAGCCTTCTGTTGTCCATGTACAAGTTGGAGATATAACAATATATAATACAAGAAGTTAATCAATTCATGTGTCAAGTAGTAAGCAGAGGAGAATGTGACAGAGGAGCTCATGGCTGTGCTGCTTCACCTTTGTCAAGTTACAAGCTAAGGGCAGGGCCATGTGAGTGCAGACTCCGAAGGCAGGTTAGCGACTATTCAACCCAGAAGACAGGACATCTTGTGGTGGAAAGATGTAAGGAACATTTCTGGACCGAGGCTGCCTTTTACTTTTATATTCTATGGGGATCCAAAATCATCCAAGTGAAATGACAATAGGTCCCTAGGGGACCAGTTTTAGATTTCAGCAGCAGGAGGCACTTCAGTGCTTTCCATGACAAGGAAAAATAAAAAAAGCAAAAAGACACTAAGAAAGCAAACAGTCTGACACGGGTCCGATACTGCTAGATGTACCAAGTATCACTGCCTGGTAACACCCAAGACTTTGCAAACACACTATTTACCTACAGCCTTATCTATAAAGGTTAATGTTAGATGGGGTGGCACACGCCTTTGCTCTACCAACAACCCACCAAGGACACACAGTAATCACTTGTTCACAGGTGGGGAGAATAGATCATTTTACAGTAACAAACAGTGAAAAGGCAAAGGCTTGTCAAGTCATACTTCCTTTGTAACAGCATTTCACGCCACTTCCTGTTCATTGCAATGCTCACATTTGTAATACAACATGTCAAAAGACTAGAGACTCCAGGGTTCGATTTGTAAAAAGTTCAAAAACCACTCGAAAATTGTAGCCAAAATTCACTTTGGCTACCTTTTTAAATACAGGAAGGGGGAGAAAAAAAAAAAAAAACACCAAAAATTTCACTTTTTTTTTTACATACCGTCACCCTAGCAGTACAGTGTCACCATAGAGACACTATTACTTGTGGGGGTTATGAAGATGTATTTTTTTTTTACACCAATAACCCATAAAGGCTGTAAAATCAATCATTTCTCCTCTCTAGCAGCATTCTTGCAGCCATTGAGAAATACTGTGTGAGGTGTGATTGGTCACAGTTTGTCAGATGGTACAAGGCTGTTGTGAATAGCCTTGC